TTTACATTCTATAATTGAATCTTCTTTATCACTCAGTGTTCTTAATTGCAAACAACAGAATTCACTCTAGCTAGTTTAATTAGAAAAGCAGCTCACAGAGTTCCTGTGAGGGCCAGAGATCAAGCTCTGAGGGCTGTGCTAACATGATCAATGCCCACATTCACCTGGTGAGCTGCTTCAGCAAGGATGCAAGTGTTGCCACTCCCAGTCATGGAAAGGATGCTCAGCTAATGCTGCCAAGGCTGGAGACTAGAAGCTTTGCCTCTGCTGCTCCAGTCATGTTCAACATCTTAGACAACACCCCTGTCTACAGGTGGACTCTGCATAGTCCCTACTTCCTCACATTGCTCACTTCCAGGTCAAAGTTAAATGCACGGGTGGGTGCATATAATTGGCAAAGCCCAGAGCACATGCCAGTGCCCTGTTACAAGGGAGACTGGGAAAGGATATTTTGGATTCTACCTCAAGAAAGCAGAATGTATAATTGTGAACATTTCTTCACACATAGGATGTGTTCCAAGGACGTTGGATGGCCACAAGCATGACAAGTATAATGATCCACATTTTACAGATAGAAAAAGTGAGGCTTAAACTTAGAGGGCCCACAACTTCACTAGTCAGCGCTGCTAGTAAGTAATTTAATGAGATTTAAACCCAGAGCCGTCTGAATGCAAAGACTGTGCTCTTTGGCACTCTGCTATACTGGGTATTTTTATAGTGATTAAGCTTTCCCAGCAAGGAGCAAAAATAAATAAAACCTCCAATTTGACAAATCAAAGTTTGTTTCTTAACTTTTTTTTTCACCATCACCCCTCTCCTCTCCCCTCTTCGCCAAATGAAGAGACATGTGTTCCTATGTCCTATTTGTGCAATCATTATCAGTCAGGACTCTTGCTTGCAGGCAACAGAAACCAACAATCATTAGTGTAAGAAGAAAAGATATTTGTTGAAATATTTTAAGCCCCTCAAGAATTACAAAGTATCTGTGGAATCAAGCTCAGAAAACTTGCAGAAACTCAGGGAATTCCCATGGTTGAAGCCACAGCCAAGGCAACACCACAGGAACAGCCTGGCTAGGAGGCCGCTGCCCCAGCTGGATACTGCCCCCAACACCACTGCCAATAGCCACTGTACCTGGCCACTACTGGAATCACTGGCAGAATAAATCCAACTCTTCCTTGTTTTTTTGCATCACTTAATGCAAAACCAAGCATTGATTAGCCAAGCTTGGGGCAGGGAGAGCAAGTATTTGGCCTTCTGCAGAGGGAGGCTAGGCCCTGCCTCCACCAAGACTCCTGCAGGAGATTCCCCAACCTAGGAAGTGGTTCAGATGCTGGCATGGTAAACAGAGGATCAGAGCTGAAGCACATCAGTCTTGGTGTCATGATGTCAGAGACCCACCTCTGCTAGTGTGTGGACACCTGTCACAATTACACATGTCAACTTGCTCACTGACCTGTTCCCCATCCCTGAGAAATAAAATGTGGATCTGAGGTCTTCCTCATATATGTGCAAAGTGAACAGGCTACAGCACTTAAAGGTGAAAAGTGTCCAGCCTTCTTCATGCAGGAGATGGGGAAGGTCTTGTCTATGGAGTAGAAGGATGAAGGCTTGGATGCAACTCATGATCAAGCCAAGAGGAGGAGGAGGAGGAGGAGGAGGGCAGTGGACTCCACCAAGCACAGCTCAAAGCCTTTGATCATCACACACCCACATGGACATTCTATGGGGCCCAAAGGTAACCTTGAGGCCCTGAAGCACCACCAAAGGTGGTGTGCCCTCAAAGCAGAGGAACACTGTCTAGCTCCTAATTAGCTATACAACATTAATAACAAATAATCATAATAACTAACACCTATGTGTCAGATACTCCACTAAGTGCTTTATATGGATTATCTTATTTCATGCTCACATGATCCCTTTAATGTAAGTCACATTAATTTTTTAAGGTAAGTCATTATCATCCCTATTTTAAAGATAAACAAATGGAAGCTTGAAGATATTGTTTAACTCGCTCAAGATCACACAGTAAGTGGCAGAACAAGAATTTGAATTCAGGCAACTTTATTTCTAGGGCCTGCCCTAGTTCTTTCCCTTTTCTTTAGGAATCACAAACTGGAGGCCCAACGTAGATGCCACTGCCATGTTCTGCGCAACCATTTAGTTTGGCCCCCTGCTCTGAGTGTTAAAAAGTTGTGTGTTCCGTAATGGCTGTACCAGTTACCAAATAAGAGTATACAAGGGTTCCCTTTTCTCCACATCCTTGTCAACACTTATTATATTTTGTCTTTTTGATAACAGCCACCCTAACAAGTATGAGATGATATCTCATTTCTCAATGATTAGTGAAGTCAAGCATTTTTTCATATACCTGTTGGCCATTTGTAGTCCTTTGCCCATTTCTTCACCCAGTTATTTGTTTTCTTGCCATTGAGTTCTTTAAGTTCCTTACGTAGTTTGGATAGTAACTCCTTATCAGATATATGGTTCACAAATATTTTCTCCTGTTCCATAAACTGTCTCTCTACTCTGTTGATTGTTTCCTTTGCTGTGCAAAAGGTTTTTAGTTTCTCCAGCTTTGTTCTGTTTGCTCCAAATTGCCTTGACTACTTGAGATCTTTTGCAGCTTACATGAAATTTATGGGGTTTTTTTTCTATTTCTGTAAAAATGTCACTGGAATTTTGGGAGGCATTTTATTAAATCTATAGATTGTTTTGAGTAATATGGACATTTAAACAATATCAATTTTTCAATCCATGAACATGTTTTTCCATTTGTCTGTGTCTTCTTTAATTTTTTCATCAATGTATTATAGTTTTCAGATCTTTCACCTTTTTGGTTCGATTCTTTCCTAAGTATTTTTAAATACTATTTTAAATGGGATTGCCTGAGGCTGGGAGCAGTGGCTCAAGCCTATAATCTCAGCACTTTGGGAGGCCGAGGCTGGCAGATCATGAGATCAGAAGTTCAAGAATAGCCTGGCCAACATGATGAAACCCATCTCTACTAAAAACACAAAAATTAGCCGGGCATGGTGGCGCATGTCTGTAATCCCAGCTACTTGGGAGACCAAGGCAAGAGAATAGCTTGAACCCGGGAGGCAGAGGCTGCAGTGAGCCGAGATCATACCACTACACTCCAGTCTGGGCAACAGAACAAGACTCTGTCTTGAGAAATAAATAAATAAATAATGGGATTGCCTGATATCTTTTGCAGACTGTTAGCATATAGAAATGCTATGGGCTTTTAAATATTAATTTTGTATTCTGCAACTTTACCCAATTTATTAGTTTAACAGTTTTTTGGTGGAATATTTAGGGTTTTCTATATATAAAACCACGTTGTCTGCAAACAGAAACAATTTAACTTCTTTCATTCTGATTTAGATGATTTTTATTTATTTTTCTTACTTAATTGCTCTGGCTAGAACTTCCTTTATGATGTTGAGTAGAAGTGGCAAAGGTGAGCCCCCTTGTCATGTTCCTGATCTTAGAGAAAAAGTTTTCAACTTTTCATCATTTTCACCACTGAGTATGATGTTAGCTGTGGGATTGCCATACATAGACTTTATTGTGTTGATAAACAAGAAAGTTCATGTACGGCAATCCCACAGCTTTATTCCTTCTATACCTAATTTATTGAGGTTTTTTTAGGTCATAAAAGGACACACAAATATGTCATTTTTTTCCTGTATCTATTGATATGATCATATGTTTTCCTGAAAAAAATCAAAAATAGAAATACTATATGATCCAGCAATTCTACTTCTGGCTCTATACGCAAAGGAAACGAAACCAGTATGTTGAAGAGGTATCTGCATTCCCATGTTCAATGTAGCATCATTCAAAATAGCCAAGATATGGAATCAATCTAAGTGTCCATCAGTGGATGAACGGATAAGGAAAATGTGGCATATATACCTAATGGAATACTATTGAACCTTTATAAAAAGGAAATTCTGTCATTTACAACAACATGAGTAACACTGAAGGACATGATATTAAGTGAAATAAGCCAGACATAGAAAGACAAATACTGCACTTATATGTGGAATCTGAAAAAGTCTAACTCACAGAAGCATCAAGCGAAATGGTGGTTACCACGGGCTGAAGGGGTGGGGAGAAATTGAGAAGGTCAGAGGATATGAAATTTCAGTTAGACAGGACGAATAAGCTCATATCTATTGCACAATATGGTAACTATAGTTAATAATAATGGATTGTATACCTGAAAATTGCTAAAAGAATAGATTTTAAGTGTCATCACCTCAAAAAAATATAAGTCTGTGAAGTAATGGGCATGTTCATTAGCTTGATTTAGCCATTCCACAATGCACACATATATCAAAAGATAATGTTGTACAGCATAAATGTATGCCATTTTTGTCATTTAAAATGTATAAAAATTATTGCAGAGTACCCAGGCAAGCATGATGCCTGGTGGAAGAAGTAGCTCAGTACCAAATTTTGTGCATGCTACCAGACTGACTTCTTTGCCCACCTCCTCCCATAGGTGTTGACACTAGTGGGCTCTGCTCTGTTTGACAGATCATATACTCCCATTATCCATACATTGCTTCTCCATAAAATGAGAGGGTTGGACTAGGTGGTCTATCTCAAAGGTTCTTTTCAATTCTAAATGTTATAGAACTACCATTTTCCAGACGCCGGGCCATCCTCTTGTATCTAGTAGCCAGGGGTTCAGATCAGCAAGGTGATCAGCCATTCTCAGTCATGCAGCCCAAAGAAAGATAACCTCAACCTTGCTATCTCTGTGTCCAGCCATTGACACCCACAGAGCACACCCCTTCAACTCCAGGCCAAAGAAAAGCATGAGGAAAGAAAGCTGATTTTTGTTAAATTACTGATTTCTACTTCCACAAGGATTAAGTACAAATCTTTTCAAATATTAGGGAAGAAACAGGTTCTAAAGCGCATGAGGAAAGACTAGTCCAAGTGGGCTTAGGTCGCATTTTAGTAATGTGGGTTTTCTGCCCCAGGGAGAAGCAAAGCTGTTGAAAGATGGGAAGGTCTTCAGAGTGGTGCGAGAGAATTGCTGGGATCCAGAAGTTCGTATTAGAGAAATGGATCAAAAAGGTATGATGAGAAATGCTACCAACGTTAGCATCTGACGTAAAAGCAATGTCTGCCCTTAAAGTTTGCTGACAACTTTATGTGATGGTTACTTCTGACCCCCTTTTCTCTGCCAGGACAGGCTGTTCCAGCTTCACTGTGGGAGAGACAGGGCCTTCCACAACAATGTTTTTAGAGTGTGGATTAGAAATGTTTTATATGAGTTATACCCTGTTTTAAAATAGAATGTTATATCACGAAAAAGATAAAAAGGTCATTTTATTATTTTTAAAAATTAGTTCAAATGTATAGTATTTATGTATTATAAAATCAATTAAAATAGTAAAAATTGGAAATCACAAACTAAGAATGACAATTGTCTTAGTAAGACTTAAGATCCAATTTCTTTCTGTAGTTTGTCTCGGTGCACCCATACACAGAACATTCCCACTGACACCTCAGAGTTGGAAATGGAGGCAGTTAAAAATAGTTTATTGTGTAATCTCAGAATACAATACAATAAAATCAATCCAGAAATTTGAAAGAAGAGAATTAGGAAGTGTTTGTTTCAAAGGTGAATTGCTAAAAAGCTCTAAGAACATCTTGCACTTTTTACCTTATATCTAAAAATCAAACAAGTCCTCACAATTTAAAAGAATTTCAGACAAGGCACATTGGCTCACACCTGTAACCCCAATACTTTGGGAGGCTGAAGCGGGTGAATCACCTGAGGTCAGGAGTTCGAGACCAGCCTGGTCAACATGGCAAAACCCTATTTCTACTAAACATATAAAAATTAGCCAGGTATGCTGGTGCGTTCCTGTAATCCCAGATGCTCAGGAGACTAAAGCATAAGAATTGCTTGAACCCGGGAGGCAGAGGTTGCAGTGAGCCAACATCACGCCACTGCATTCCAGCCTGGGCAACAAAGTGAGACTTTTCTCAAAACAAAACAAAATGAAATTTCCAAGTCTATCTAAAGTATGACATGATGGCCACATTATGCTTCACCTGTGACTGCCTGGCTGACTGTGCCACCTGAGAACATGCTCTAAGAAAATGCCTGAGCCTTCCAGACACATGTGAGCTGTGTCCATGGGCTGTGAGGGGGAACTGACCACCACTGACATTGTCAGAACTAAATGTTTACATTGGTGGAAGATTTCAACCAGAAAAGAAATAATTCAAACACACAAATAAAAGAGCAGTTTAGCACTACCACCTTTCTAATCAAAGACAAATTATAAGGAGTTCAAATATACAAAGAGATGGCAGGAGACATTTTATTCCAAGGTCTGCAAAAAAGGAATCAAACTGTCAGCCTAAAATGAGTAGGTAGTCTCCGGCATGTTGGAATTTGTTGTAGATACTTTTGTCCAGGTTTTGCTTTATATATTTTTTAACAATTAAAAATAGACTCAGGTGTGGTAGGTCATGCCTATAATCCCAGCATGTTAGGAGGCCACGTCAGGAAGATCACTTGAGCCCAGGAGTTCAAGATCAGTCTGGGAAACACAGTGAGACCCTGTCTCCATACACACACACACACACACACACACACACACACAAATTATCTAGGCGTGGTGGCATGTACCTGTGATCCCAGCTACTCAGGAGGCTGAGGTGGGAGGATCACTTGAGCCCAAGAGTTTGAGGCTGCAGTGAGCTGTGATTGCACCACTACACTCCAGCCTAGTGGTGGAGCAAGACCCTGTCTCTAAAAAAACCTCTTTTTTATTAAAAATATATTTAAATGGCATTTAAATTGAACTTCGCAGAAACCCTGCAGCACCTCTGTGGAGTACTCCACAGAATATAGCATATATCCCTCTAAAAGTATATTGGAGTGGGAGGAGAGCTGGAGAAAGAACATGCTTCCCTAACCTACAGCAAAAAGCAAGGTTTTGTAGTAAATATGAAGCTGCAGCAAGGGCCTGCCTTTTCAAGGAGAAAACTAATGAGCATGAGACTTGAATGACTGGTGTCAGAAACCACAGCTTATGGCTGCATGGTAAACAACGTGTGTGTGTCATCTTTGGTTTTTGTTGTGTGTTTCATTCCTTGGCTGTCCTTAAGAGAACAGTCATGACCAACCCTCACTGAGTATTTACTTTGTGCCAGGCACTATTCTAAGAACCTAACATGTATTAACTCATTTAATCCCTACAACAACCCTAGGAAGTAGGCCCTCTTGAAGACAAAAGATGCTTGGCGTCGTGGATGCTGGAGTCAAACTCAGGGTCCCATTCTGGGTATTTCAGACCATGGGACTCCTTCTAGGATCACTTGGGAGCTGAATTAAAGGGGCAGGGAAGGTGGCTGAGAGACATGCTCTGTTGTGCGTACCCTAAGATGGAAAGCCTGTAAACGTCTTGCTTAAATAAAATTTCACAGGAAGGAGGGGAGAAATAACTCTTCGGAAATGGGGTCAGTTAGTTTTCCTTCAATGATCTCATTTGTATCCAACCTTTACTTACCTCCCTGGAATCTGGGGCTAGGGGCTGAGGGGGGTCTAGGGATGGGACTGAGAGAGATGCAGGGAGGGAGAGCAGGAGTTTAGAGTGGAAGCTTGCTGCCACTTGGCCTTGGGAAAGGAAGGAGTGTCCAGACCATTCTTCTCACCAGCTTTGCCCTTCTTTGTGTCCATGTCTAGGAGTAACAGTGCAAGCCCTTTCCACAGTTCCTGTCATGTTTAGCTACTGGGTGAGTGTGAAACCTCAAGCCATCTCCTTGGTGTTGAAGGTTCGTGTCGAGCTCCCAAAAAGTGAACAGATGCCTCAAGTCTGGACACCAGTACCACTGACCACCCCCAACAACTAACTGTCCTCCCCTTCAGAGATGAGCAGGGTCCCCTCTCAGGCCTGTCTTCTTAGCCGTGTCTTCACTCCAGTACAGTAACCAGTAGTCACATGTTGCTATGTGACTTGCATTACAGTTCCACCGTACGGTGGTTCTAGGTCAGCCTTATTCTCCACCAGAACTTACCGGTCTGATGACTCATTCCTGCAGTGCCTTGCTGGGGAACTGACAAGCCAATATCTTCTGAGATGAGAATGATTTTGAGGTAGGAATAATAATCATGACCTAATATATCAGCTCTCCAAGGGAAAAACAGAATTCAGAAGGGGAATCCTGAGGTTGGATGCCCTTTCCCAAGTGAATAAATCTCAAGCACTAAAAGTTTCAGGCATGATTTCCAGCCTGTGGAGGAAAAGTTTTGTACATAGCCGGGAGCGTGCTAAGTCCCTGCTCATCCAAACAGATACTCACTCTCATGATTTAAGGAGCAGTGGAAATACCACCTGTTCATACATACTTCCGTGATCTGTGTTCATAAACCCAGTATTAGTGAGTGACTCAGTCTTTGCCTGTTCCTGCGATTGCATTCACTACTTAAAAGTGCCCTGAGACCTCAATATGCCTGAATTTATCAGATTGGTTACCACTCTGATTAGACAACTGAGGCTGCAGGAGAGGATCAGATTCCTGGCAGTGGGTAGTGGGGTGACAGAGGAAAGAAAACAGTGAAGAAGGGAGCATTAGGGCAACCAACAGCAAACTTCATCTGCCTCAGCATTTTGCCAAGGACAGCCCTGAATGTCACAGCCAACAAGAAAGGGCAGACAGGAGAACAGGCAGGCAGCAGGACAAGTCAGTGAGCCAGCCTGGCTGCCCCCAACGAGGCATGATAAGGAGGTGCCTTGATGGTGGCCTGGGACCCTTGGCCAGGCCTGACCTCCTGGGAGGTAGGGGGGCATTAAGATCTTTCTGAGGTGGCCCATGCTCATTCCATCTCTAGTGTTGGGATACCAGGCCCAGTAATTGTGTCCTTCCCTTCTGATTCTGGCCTCAATTTTTCCAATGAATCAGCAATATACCTTCTGTTTTCTTTGCTTTACAAAGATTGGCTTCTGGGTCTTCTGTGGCCAGCACCTTTCCAATCTGTGCCTCTGTTTTCTGATGTGGTAAAGCTCATCAAAATTTGTCATTTGAAAATGACAAATATTATAGCCACAAGGAGGCACTGTTCAGAGTAAATGTCCAAAAGAAGTAGGTTTTCAACAATGCGGTTTTCCCTTTCCTGTCTCCACCAGGCCAAACCTGAGGACACTTTAAACCTGTGCCAGCTTTTAAACAACGACCTTGCCACCACCGTTGCGAGCTACCCCAGGAGGTTTGTGGGTCTGGGGACGTTGCCCATGCAGGCCCCTGAGCTGGCGGTCCAGGAGATGGAGCGCTGTGTGAAAGAGCTGGGCTTTCCTGGGGTCCAAATTGGCACCCACGTCAACGAGTGGGACCTGAACGCGCGGGAGCTCTTTCCTGTCTATGCGGTGAGTAGCGGGGCTGCTCAGCCAATGCCAGCCGCCCAGTGCCTGGACCCGGGGCACTGCTGGGTGCTGGCGGGGAGGAGGGGAAGCGTCACCCCACTGGGAGGGGAGAGTGGCATCTATGACTTGTTAGATGTAGGTAGAAGGTGTAGAAATAGCCCCCGCAAAGGAGTGGGCCATTCCAAAGAGGAACTGGTGGAATGGTTCCTAGGCCAGCGCTGAGTTAACACAGTGAAATCTCTTTTCCTTCCATCCCCCTTGCCCTCCTTTTAATCTTTCACTTGGAAGCCAAAATACCCTCTTTACAGCCACTGTGCAAAAGAATCGTGTTAATGACATACAAATATATACATATATATATATATATTTCGGCCGGGTGCAGCAGCTCACACCTATAATCCCAGCACTTCGGGAGGCCCAGGTGGGCAGATCACTTGAGGCCAGGAGTTCGAGGCCAGCCTGACCAACATAGCAAAACCCCATCTCTACTAAAAATACAAAAAAATTAGCCAGGTGTATATTAGGATCTTTTAAAGTACATTCAAATAATGACTAAAAATATCTTAATTACAGTTGGTTAAATAAATCAAACATAGCCATATATTGGAATATTCTGCAGTTATTTAAATCATGGCATTAAAAGAATTTTCATTATGTTGGAAATTTTAATTAGCATACAAAATCACATGTGTAACAGAATTTCAGTTTCATGAAATATAGATATATGTATTCAATAAGTAACTGTGTATGATAACAGTGGCTACTTATCTTTGGGAGGGCTGGATTATGGGTAATGTTTATTTTCGTCTTTATACTTTCTGTATTGTTTGAAAATGTTAAGTATTTTTTTTTAAGCAGATTTTTTTTTTTTTGAGATGGAGTCTTGCTCTTTTTTTTTTTTGTTTGAGACAGTGTCTAGCTGTGTCGCCCGGCTGGAGGCAGTGGCATGATCTTGGCTTACTGCAACCTCCATCTCTGGAGTTCAAAGCGATTCCCCTACCTCAGCCTCCCCAAGTAACTGGGATTAGCAGGTACCGCCAACCCACGCGCAGCTAATTTTTGTATTTTTAGTAAGAGACGGGGTTCACTGTGTTGGCTAGGCTTGTCTCAAACTCCTGACCTCATGATCTGCCTGCTTCGGCTCGTCCAAATTG